TTTTTACTATGTTCACCATTTGTGTTAGGTGTGTTATTACACATTGGACTAATTTGCACCAAACACAAAGTAAAGCAAATGCTGATGGGAATATCTGGCGTATGAAAAGTCAAAGGGTTAGAACAACAAACTAGACCCCAACAAAGACTACTGTGTTTCTAAATCGATGATGGAAGATACATTTTTTTTGTACTACGTTAGTGTTTTAAACAAGAGTGGTTTGTATTCAGGGGAACTATAGTGTTACCACTGAGTTGTCCATCTGGCACCATTAGTGAGGATCTGCAATATGAGTCACGTAGTGGATGAGTCACGTCACTTTGAGGGATTATCGAAGTGAGAAAAGGTTGTGTTTCTCACTTTTTCCTCCCTCTGTCCTTTGTTTGGTTCCTTTCTCCACTCCCCCTCCTTTTTTCTCTGCCTCCCCCCTCCTCTATCCTCTACCTCCCATCTTCTGCCACCATCCTTCGCCACACTCGCACCCCATCATCTGCTGCTGTGGTGGCCCGGGGGTGGGCGAGCTAGGAGAGTGATATTTGCGGTACCAGGCAGACATAATAAAAAATAAAAACCAGAGGGGAGGACTGGAAAATCTATTAACGGGACTTTTTCACATCTAATGTTGCAAATATTGCTTTTGGGAACCCTGAATAACATAATTACAATCCAGGAACAAAACATCAGCCAAAGACACGTTTAACCAGGAAACAAGAGGAGGCATTTCACTGCTAAACTCGTCCGCAGCGTGAATGAGTCTGCTGTGTGAAATTAAGGATACAAACCGATGATTTACGCATCCCTGTTTGCAAACGTCAAAATAACATAGCTTTTTAATAATCCTCATTATGTGTCTGGTGGTATTTTTTGTGTATTGCCATTAAAGAAAAATAACCCCTCCAGGTGAAAATGACAGGTTTGCTCTGGGTAAGGCAATATGTTAATACTTGAGTCTATTTGGACACTTCAATAAAAGAGGAAAATGGAAAAAGGTAGTCGAGGAGATTTGAATACAGCAGAAATCTACTTGTATTTAACACTCAAAAAACTTTTTTTTTTAAATCAATACAATTATTTGTAGAAAGGAAAAGAGTAAAATCATTTTGAAAATGACAGCCTTCATTCCAGCCCTAGCAGCATTGTCCAGCAGTATAGGCACATTATTTTTTTAAGAGGTTTTGCCTCACAAAGGCAATGCTAACATGATGGTTTTTAGCATGTGTTTTTACCAAATTCGCCATCTGACACGCTAACATTAGCTGAGAAGCTCCAAATTATAGACGAGCCTGATAGGCATAACTCTCTGGTATTGAGACATTAATTAAAGTAGGTCATTTGGAAAATATATATACTTTCACATGATAATTGAACCTACATAACCTATGAGTCGTGAGGATTCTTCCTCTTGATACCAGGAATCAAGAGGATGACAGGAATCATAGTCTTGGTGATATATTAGTCTGGATCTGTGTTACAGTCACACAAACATCCCTCGAACCACACTGCAAGCATGGTTATAAATAGTTTTAAGAATAAAAAGCACAAACAGACTTGAGTACTAACATGCTGATGTTTGTTATCTTCCCTTATCACTTCTTGTGTTTTGTTTCTCTGCAAGTTCTGTGGGGTTTTATTATTTAAGACAGCTGTTTTCTGAGCTAGAAAGCTTTTTGTTGTTATTTTGTGACATGTTTCACCATCTCCTCTGCGGCAGTTACTAATGGAATATTCTTTTATGTGATTTCTTTGTAGCATTTGTCACTACATTTGCTATCACTGTGAATTAGGCTGTAAAGTATGGCTCCACACCATGTGTCTTCATATCAGTGTTTCATTAAATGCAGTGTCTGCAGCCTGTAGGCTCTTTGTATTCCCCTTCTCGTGAGAAGGCGGTGGCGGCGCCGGCGATGGCCTCCGAGGTGACGAGATTTTAATTTGTCTCGCCCAGCCTGCAGTCTGGCAGGGTGTGTTAATCGCCCCGACGCCACTCTAACGGTTGAACAATAATAACGGACCTGTTTAATAGAAATTAATTACAGTCATTATACAGTGAGGGTCTGCCAATCAGCGGCTCCGGGCATCGACTGAGACGAGGAGGGGTCAGCAGAAAGCCTGAGCTCACGTCTCTCTTTTGGAGTTCAGTGATAAGTGAGGCTGGGAAGACGGATGACAGACAGGCAGCTGCCAGGTTAAAAAATAAATAAATCTGTAATCACCGTTCCACTTTTCTACTTAATAATCAGGGAAGTTTTATGCGTCATTCAAAAATAGTTAATATCAATTAAGTGTTCACCAACTTGACGGAACGTGCAGCATTTAAGGGGACATCAAAGGGATGTTAACGTGTTAGCGCCCCTGCTGACGTTGGGTTTTGAGCTTCTTGCAACGTTTTTTATTTGCAGTGTTTTGTTTATGCAATGCTTTTAGTATATGCTGCTCATGTTTCGTGAAGTTGGTAAAGATGTTTCGGAACGTTTTTGTTTTATTTTTGCAAACGTTTTTGAAAGTGTTTTGGGCCATAATAGCCTGTTTGTACCTGTCGGCCTGTACCTTTTGAGCATGTCTCTAGATCAACACACATAAAGGATCATTAGATGGTTATTAAAATCTCTTTTTTTCAGCTATTTTACTGTATTCTCCTATTATTTTGACACAGTTTCACATTTTTCGGAAACGTTCTCACTTAAATAAACTAAAACCCTGCCCTTGACACTATTTGCATAAAAGCTTCACATTTCAGAGGGAAGCAGCTCAAATCAGAATATTTGCAAGTCACTGTTTTTGATGCCACATTTGTTAAAATGAATTAAAAATATTAATTATTTGTGTTTCTGGTATCATGGAACCTTAGATTGGTTTGTGATGTAATGATATTATCAGAAATGTTGAAAACAGCAAGAAAACAAGTCAAAAAAAGGAAAACAATAATCATTTCATTTGTATGTATGCTTTCTGCAGGTAGTGTGCTGCTCTCTGACGGATGGTTAACAATGAGTGGAAACTCTCCAGCTGTTTAAGCCTGCCTGTTTATGGCATGCCACCCAGCCAAGGAGGCATTGTTTTATTGTTGCTTTACACAATGAGAGTTGTTAAATCTGCACATGAACTCACATTGTATCAACAGCATCTGCTCCTGGTTCACTTTCTGGGATTACTCCTAATGGGGATGAATCTACAGCCTCCACAGACTGAAGCTGGGGAGCTTATACTGTGTCTGCAGAAGAGCTGGTTTAATCCTTCATTTCTTTCCATTTTAAACACATATTTCCGAGTTTATCATGTCTAAATACCATATTTTGTTTTCCTTTTCTGTTGTCGGTTGAATCTGTTTTCATTTGTTACTGCCTCAACTTGTAATAAAACTCTTCACAACGCCTACCTTGCGCACTTGTTGTATTTTGCATTGAGCCAAAAGCACTTTAGGCCTGCACTTACCAAAAAGACAAGAGGATCAACTTTCGCCATACATTTTTCATTTGATTCAAACTATAAGCTATAATGTAGTCATCACTGTGTTCTCACTCCCACAACATCTCAAAATACCTTCTCCTGTTCCAAGCAAAAAGCAAATATAGATATAAATCAGAGATGTCGGCTCTTATAAAGTTATGTATGTGAACTCCTGTGTGGCTGAGCCTCTTTAGGTAACACAGGGGAGTGATTTTATTTTTGTCATGTCTCAGGTATGTATGTATGTTGTCGGAACAGGTTTGTGCTCCGATGTTTGGCAGCCCGGCTCTGTCTGCTCAGCTGCTGGAGATTAATGAGCTGTCAGCGGAGAGGGAGGCATTAAAGGAAGCCTTCCCATGGTCAGAAAAGATAATTACTGCTGATCAGTGGTGCTGTAAGAGTAATAACTGTCTGCCTGTCTCCCTGCTCATCTGTCTCCGACTACCTGACACAAGAGTGCCTGCCAAAATGGAACCCTGTCTGTCTACCTTCATGTCTACCTTCATGTCTACCTGTAATTTTCCATTTTCTATTATTTATAACTAGCCTTCACATAACACAACTTCACTGATTGTCTACAATAACCCGCCACTACATTCTATTAAGCCTTGACATGGACACAGCAGAATAAGGGGCAAAACCTTAAAAAAATTAGAGGAAACGTCAACTTATAAGCATTCAAATGCTCTTTTGAATTCCCATTTGGAGTTGTAAAGTCCTTCTTCTGATTTCAGAGTGGTCATGAGGTTATTATGGAAACAACATATACTACAAAAAATACCTTTTGTCATTTGAATGTTTAAAAAAAACACACTATTATGGTTTATCCATTCAAAGATCAGCGGATGCAGTATTGGCCGATGACGGTCACAGCGTCTATTTGAAGCCTTTGTATTTATCGGTTGGCATTATTTATTCATGCAACTGATTATAACCAGTGTTCCTAAGTAACTAAGTACATTTACTCAGTACTTAAGTACACTTTTGAGGGATTTTTTGCTATTTTGTAGTTCTACTCCACTACAATTCAGAGGTAGATATGGTTATTTTACTCCAATACATTTATGTAGTTACTTTGCAGATATAGATTAATGATAAATAGGATCATTAATCTAGGATTATTAGGATACATATAATCAAAACATATAATATATATGATTGTGAAAAGTGCCAATCTGCATAATAAGTAGGTACTTGTACTTTAGGTAGCCTACTTCAAGTTCACTCAGATGCCGATACTTTTTTACTTTTACTTGAGTAACATTTTGAATACAGGACTTTTACTTGTAGCAGTATTCCTACACTTTGGTATTTCTACTTTAACTTAAGTACAATATCTGAGTACTTCTTCCGACTCTGATTGTATCTACATATCAAGAAGCCTGCCGCAGAGGAAGTGAACCGGAAGTGATTTTCGTCTCCGTTACCTAATTAGTGAATTATTAATATGCGTATTAAGTATTAAGTCACAGTAAGGTATTGTATCATGCTTTGCACAGGGAAATAAAATCACATTACTAGTAGAATAAAAAGCGCGTGTTGCATTTAAAAACCTTGTTTGGATGCTGTTAAGTCTGCAGGCCGTCTGAACTCATGTTGTTATTTGTAGAAGTCGGTGGGTGGATTTTCGGCGCACCTGTAGCAGATAATTACACCGTGAGATCAGCGGAGCGACCTTATCGTGGACCAATCAAAAAGTATAAACAAGAGAAATGTCATGAACGCAGTTATTGTAGCATTAATGTTAACAGATATAACAATTGACAGCGAATCAAGTAATAAACCTTTACCTGTGCTCTGACTGCTGTGTCCAACTCTCAGGGGCGCGATTAAAACCAACACCTGTTAATCGTTCCGGGAGGGGCTACACCCAACATGAGTAAGGTGGGGGTGTTGAATAAATGTAAGATTCATGTTTGGTAGCTTTTTTGTAGATGGTTCGTGTATTCATAATAAATAAGATGTACTTAATGGATTGATGGTCATTTTTATTTATTTTAAACATGTGTTTTGGTATTCTAAGTAAGAATAATTATTCTGGTAATTCTACAGATGTGACAATAGCACCCCTTATTTTGGTATCACCTCAGGCTGGGGCCTTTACATTTCTGCTCTCCGGTGCAGTTTTGTGGGGAATGATAGCATGGCCTTGCTGCAAAGTATACTGCCATCTTCAAAATTATAATTACTTTAAATAAGTTGCCCACATTTGGAGTTTGCTTCATCACCGAATTCCTTCTTGGTACCTCTGATAGATGGAATCTGAGCCAGATGGACGTCTCGGTTAAAGGTAGGACCAGTATGGTATTTCAACATGCTGTTGTGTTACACAGCAAGCTTCTTATTCTTTCAGTAGGCCAGTAGGCTTTCTAATATTGTACAATTGGGCAGTGTTGTGTTAGCGTTGTTTTGTTCAGTGTAAAAAAGCAAAACAGATGTGGGGGTCTTTGGTTTGAATACTGACCCCCTTGGTCAACATGACAATGTCTCCTTTTGCAAGATCAGAAAATTGTGTTAATGTTTCTCACTCCTTATGAGTTGGTGCAACTTGGGAAGTAGCCTCTCGCTCCTGTATGAGTGTTTGGTTGAATGTTGACATGAGGTTAAAGTGCTTTGAATGGCCGTTTCAAAGTCCAGTAAAGCACTTTATAAATACAAATACAGTCCTTTGACTTTAGTGATACACTCACTTCTCTGGTTTGGTCATTTATGCATCGAGAAATTGACTCCCAAAAGCATTTGATCAGCCTTCATTGTGAACGATTGATGGCAGTTGATTTGTGCACAATTAGATTGAAAATGCAGATGTATGTTAAAAAAAAAGAATCCAGATAAAGAGCAGGAGAGCAGGTTTGTCAACATAAACAACGTCCTCAAACTGTGATGTCCACAGCATGAGGAATATAGTTTGGAAATGTGATTTGAAAGACTGGGACACACTTCTTTAAGTTTTATAGAAATATGAGATGAAAATATCTCCAGTCTTAGAAAGCTCTTTAGTATATTGCACCTGAGTTATATAATAATGTCTACAGCGAACTGCATCTCTGCCATTTATCAAAGCTGAGTTAACACAGAAGCTACAGAGTCTGTCCGTCTTCTCAGCTGAAACTCCAGAGACTTTAAACCTTCAGGAAGCTTTCAGTCGCTGAGACTTTGTACACAATCTGAAGCTTTTCAGGAGAAAAACACTTTCGGAGCTCCTGCAGTGTTCAACTACACGAATGCTGTACGTTATCTGAAGCAACCTAAGAGCTTGATTCATTACTAATCCATACTGTAAACTACTCAGTGACACCAGCACAGACAAATTGGTTTCTTACTGAAAGTGTCAAGTCATCCATCTTATATACTAGCCCAATTTAAGGCTGATTGTATTTCCCCCTTCCAGCGCGTTCAGCCCTTTGCTTAATGCATGTTAGTGAAATAAAGACGGTTTCATTGGAGTGCATCATCTCTGTTCTAGTTATATATTTTGGTTCTTTTTATGTCTTTCCTCTCAGGTGATGGTAGCGTGTTCCCCACTCTGTTTAGCAATATGAATGTAACAAGTACAAGACAAAAGGAGAGAAAGAGCTGATGCAGAGCTGCAGTGTATTCATTTTCTGAATAACTGATGTCAGGCCTGCAAGCTAAAATGTAAAATGATGAAAAAACATGTTTGAAAACATGACCACATAGTCAATGTTTTTTTCCTGAGCAGTAATATTGTGACTGTGTGTGATGCATATTTTTGACGCTCTTGGTATATTTGTTCTATGTGCTTTTTCTTCTCAGCTTGTATTTCCTCACATTCTGGCCTGTCCACAGAAGCTTTACATTCAGCTCCAGCACATTATGAAACTGGTTTTCAGAGATTTTAAATAGCAGCTACTTTCCATATATTAGCCCATTATGAATGATAGCATTGAGGGCTAAAGGCTTCAGAGTAATGACGCCTCTTCATGTGGCTTCTTCAGAGCCAGCACTCACTGCACATACAGATGCAATTACTTCAAGACTGACGTACCTTTCATGTGGTGCAATCTCCCTCGGATATATTTTGCTCGTCTTTCAATTTGACGATTATACATTTGGATGTTTTTTAAACCTCCAATGGATCACACTTTTGCATGTGGTTGTATATAATAAACACTTAAAATTGATGATGAAATGTGTATTTTAATGAATCAGTCATTGTACACTTCATAAGTAATGATGTTTTTAACACTAGAACCGCCAGAGATTTTTTATACCTAAAACCGCCACCGGGGTCAAATTGACCCAGCATTAGAATGCATGGATTTTCAAAGTAAAAGTATTGCTTTAAAGTATTTTTAAATGCAGCTTGTGCAGTAGAAAAAGCTGAAGGAAACATTTTACCTAAGGTTTAAGTCTCAAAAATGTAATACAAGTTTGTTATTTCTCTCTTATGAATTATTATGGTCACATGAAGCTTCCAGGATAGCCAGGATCCAGAATAACCATCTTTATTTTATTTATGTGCACTGTGCCTAATATGTATTTTCAATGTATTTATGATCTGAGTACAACTTTCTTTGGTTGTCCAGTGATGGAAAAACCTCAAAATAGCAATAACGGCGCATTATCTCTTGCCTCCTCTCTATCTTTACATTTCACTCTCTCTGTGAGCTCATGATATTTATTTTAACAGCAGATTATTAGTTCAACACGGGCCTTGTTAATTTACTGGTTGGCTTTCTCACCAGGAGCAGCCACGGCTGACTGGTAGATCCTTAGCTGCTGGAGTCATATACAAACATTAGTTCCTCTAATTAAGGACGGCAGCTAAAGTGCAGAGTAATTGGTCGCTGCGAGGTCTTTGAGAAGCGAACATGCAGCTACACCTCCAGGCAGGCGAAGACGTAAAGTTGCAGAGCTCCAGGAAGGCTCCATTTCGCTTGTCTCCCATGAATGCCAATATATGCTTTATGAATTATACATTTTCCCTTCCCTTAGTTTTGGCTATTAAATCTGTTCCAGACATGAAAATGAGGACTAATTACTTACAGTGACTTGTTTGAGCAGAGGATAAAGGAGTGTCATGTTAATGTTTTCCTGCTGACAACAAATAGGAACGGCGGTTCCATTGATTTCTGATGACCCGAAGGCTCTCCAGAAACCTCAGATCTTTGGAGTCGATAATGTCTCACAGTGCGATGAGATATTTGAAAAGCCTCTGTTGCTGCCAGCCCACATGTATGTGCAAGCCACAAATTTGGCTTCATGAAACACTCCCAGAGAAATTAGTTGTCGCGGGCGTTTACAGTAAAGAGACATGGGTAGTGTGACTTACAGGGTGTTGTCTGGGTGTGAATATGAGCGCTGGCGAAAGTTTCACTCTCCTTATATTGTTTGTGTTCATAAAAAAAAAGAAAACCAGCTTTTTCTAGCAGACTTGGCGTCCCATCGTTTTGAAATGCAACATGCTCAGACTTGCACACATTTTTATTACCAATGTCGACTTTTAAAAGCAAGTATTTTATTTAAGTGTTTTCTGTTAAGTGCCGGTCTGATGAGTGCTAAAACTGGCAGCGAAGAGCTTTGGGATAACCAAGACTTACAAATGCAATTTAAAAATAATTCTTGATCTATGATGGGATTTTCTCACCTAAAAGGCCCGAATACAACTGTCAGTTAACACCCTTTTTTATTTATTTCCACATTCCAAAAGGTAGCCTAGTTCAATCTGATCCCAGTGAAATTTTAAAATGGCTCTGTAAAACAGGTGTTTTTAAATCTGGATTGATTAAATAGACATAATAAAAGGGTCCTTTTGGGGGTTTTCTCATCCAATTCAGGATGTCAATTTATGCTGTGACATTGCAGCAAATACAGCAATAAGGATTTGTGTCTACATGGTTTATTTTTCCAGGCTCCAGCAACTGTTTTCAATTGTTACCAATGAGACGAGAGTGTATGCAGCCGTCTGGAGAAAGAGCGCTAAACTTAACTAAGGAGCAAGTGGCAAAAACCACCAGTGCTCCATGTGCAGAAACCCCATCAGAGGCTGCCGCGCTTCACTGCTCTGTTAATTATTTCTCCCTGCTGGTATGTCACACCTGCAGGGGAATGTCGCTGCAGCCCGTCAGCCAGCAGCTGAGCCGGAGCATGATTGATATCTGTGCTCATCTCATTCGGTCCCTTTGCCCGATGGCGTGGCAGCACAATGAGCTGCTTCTTCTTCTTCTTCTTCTTCTTCTTCTTCTTCTTCTTCTTCTTCTTCTTCTTCTCCCTCTTCTTCTTCTGTCTCCCAAGTGAGTTGCTGTAATTCTTCTCTGCTGATCGTTCTGGCACACCTTGAATGCTGGGAGGGAAGGCTGATGGGTGGATTAATGTGTGTTTGGGAGTGTACACCTGTAGGTGTGAGATTGTGTGGCTTGAATGTTTCAGAGCCACATGCACACACACATAAGCTGCAAGTGACCCCAGCTGACATATACTCACTGTGTTATTGATTGTATCTTAAGTCCACTTCAGTCATGAATACCAGGTGCAGAAGAAGAGGCTGGTGAACAGTGATTATTAACCTGTGAGATGATTCAGCTAAAAAATGTGGGCCAACCCCACATGGCTCATAGCCAACATGGACTCACATGAACTCACTTGTATGTCAAGGAAAAAAAACACGGTGATGAAACCTCTGCATGTGATGTAGAATAAGTTGTTGACAGATTCTTAAACCTGACGATATAAACAGTTGAGTTTTTTCGGAGAGGCAAGTTCAAATCCAGGCCATAACTTCAAAATGTGTTTGCCAGAAATAAGTTCAAATAGCAACTTAGGACACGAAAATGGAGATGGCAATTTTCGAT